TGTGACTTAATTGCAATACTCAAAATAGCTGTATGGTCAGCCAAAAATTCAATTAATTAAAATAATATTAAAAGAATTTTTGTTCTTGTAGTTCACTACTTTTCGATTCCTTTCTTACAATTGCAAAATGCAAAAATATCTTATGGCATCAAAGTCAAACTATTCGTAAGTTCACTTTTAACTAATTGTAATTTAGACAAACATTGTTTTATTCATACTTCTCGAAATGTTTGCTATTTGAAACAATTACAAAACATATGTCAAAACTATTTAAAATGGTTGACTTTTTATTTCAGGCCAACAAAGAGACGACGAATTTTTTTCCAAAGTCAACATAAAAAGATGCATCCAAATGCAATTAACTAATTTGAAATGATCATTTTTTATAGTATTTAGCAGTATTATTAGCTTTATTTTTACTTCATTTTAAATTTGTTGTATTACATAAAAATTTTTAACAATTATATTATATATGTAATAGCTGTAAGCTCTTGGCATTTTAGCCGTCTGCCGGATATATCTATATATCCATATCTAGCCGACAAAGGGATGACGAATTTTTTTCCCAAACTAAAATGAAATGATATATCCCCCTTATCTGGAAATAATTTATAAGCCATTGTGTAATTAGATACATATTTAAATTTTTTTTATCCCGAAAATATGCAACGGTAAAATTTAGTGGTTGATTTCCGAGTTTTTATTTTTGTACTTTACCTTAATTTAGTGCTTTTTAAAATAATTCCAAAAAATAATTTTAATCTTAAAAATCTCTTTGTATCACTAATTATCTTTACTTTATTCACAAAGAGTTATTTCTAATTCTATTTCTATTTGGGAAACTTGAATTTTTTCGCAAAGTAGGTCACCTTTTCGCTATTGAATTCAAAAAGAGCCAAAAATTAAGAAAAAAACTGAAAAACATTTTTTAATCTCTGTAAAATTAAGCACATTACCATTTAGAAAAAGGCGTAACCAGAATCTGTACTTCGCAGTACAATCACAATTTCAGAAACAGCACCTAACTTACTCACACACATGCTTACGCATAAACAAGTGCTTGAAATGAAACAAAACAAATGCCAAAGCAAACCACGCAAGCAATTTTGCATCATAATTGTTTAAAATTCGTAACCGCGCCTAAAAGTGTGCCACTTCTTTCATTGTTTCTTTGATTGCAGTGCATATTCGTATGTGTGCGTATGCCTGCCTGTCTGTTTGGTTGTTTGGCTGTTTGGCTGCTTGGCTGCTTGTTACAAAATATTCAGCGTTTTATTCACGCACACATAAACAGACCCGTTCTTCCGCCTTCACACACTGCATATGTACATGCAAGCATTTCAAATGTACATAAGTGGTTATGTTGTTAGTATGCAAAACCAAAACAAAGTACAAAAACAAAAAACAAACAACAAACAACAGAGAAGAGAGAACAACGCAGCTACAACAATGTTGCTTGTAGCGAAAATGTACGATAAAATAACAGAAAAACAGCAACAATGGAGCAGGGCGCAAGTGAACATCAGCTCACCGAGATTTTTATTATGAATACCGCTTATGTTCTTGTTAAAAATTAATTAAAATCTGTTTATTTGTTTTTTTCATTTCCATTTTCATTTTCGTTATGGTTTTGTTTTTCGAATGGAGTTAACCAGGTGCTTGTGCGTGTGTGTGTGTGTTCGGGCACAAAACACATCGCCATGCTTGTCACAAAATGTTGTTAACATAAAAATACACTGCAAAAAATTTAAATCATTTTACAGGGTTACAAAAAAAAAATAGTCTCGTATATAAAATATATTTAAAATAATTATTTCCGAAAAAAAAGTTTCAAAAATTAATTTTAATTAAAAACTTTTAATAAAAATGAATTTTACATTGCCAATTTTAGTGAACTAAAGGAGAAGATTACTGTTCAATGCATATGACAATTATTTTTTATAGTGTGTTTCGTATTATTTCTGTTCCCTATTTTACATAAAATCGTATGTTATACGTTTCTCACCACAGTTGTAATATTATTTTACGTTTTTCATTGCTACAAATACCAGAAAATGTCAAAAACCACAAATTTATGTTCTGTTTTGACTTTAAAAGAAAATTGTTGTATACTTTTAGGTGTACCAACGTGTGAAGCTAATACGACATGTTGCTAACCACCGCTCACGGTTGAGGGACTCTTATTATTTGCACAGATAAATAATATTATTTATTTAAATTAGTAAAACAAGGTAATGTAATTTTTCCCACATGCATTAAATGTTGTAAATCAGATTTACGAGAAAACGCCATATTAGAAATTACAGCAATGATCATTGAAGAAAGGGGATTAAAAAGTTCTAGAAACTGTAATGGGAAATAGAGAGATATCAGAAGAAACATAGCAAAAGTTGATGTAATTATTGTGTAATTTATGAAAAGAGAAGGAGCTATAATGAGAGAGACATACTATTTTTATCATGATTGAAAAGAATTATTGATTAGTTGGCTCGAGTTGATTAGTAGTCGATTTCCTAAATACTCCCATTTGATAGCGCATATAAAGACAGCATAAATTTTGTAAAACTTTTTATACCACAGTAAATGTCAATGTACGAGTATTTTAGTTTTCGGGATAGTGTGCCTTGCAGAAATACAGAATTATTTAAAGTGATAACCTGTCGTAAATGCTTAACAAGAGATACGGTGCTCTTAAAACACAATTCGGTACGACGAGCTGTTAACTGCCTACTTGAAATTCCAAGGAATTCCGCCAGTACCAATTCAAGCTCTACATTTGAATATAGTTTCCTTGTGAATGAGAAGTCAGGTCTGTTTAATACTTCTGCTAGACCCTTACTGTTGGTCTCTTTTACACGACTTACTTTTACTTACTTAGTTAGGCAGTATAGGCGTGTCGTGTTTGACCACGTCCAGTAGCTTCCACCAGCGAGTCCGATCAGTAGTAGTACTGAGCACCTTCAAATCGTTGTTCATCTCATCGTTTAAGCGAATTTGCGGACGTCCTCTATCTTAATTAACTCTACTAGAATCCTTGGTCTAATCGGTGTGCCCGGGAAATCGAAATCACAACCGGGATTATATATTGCAACCGAATATATTGAGACTGCATTTAATAATTTACGGAACTTTTATTATATGATTTTATTAGAACGAAGGTCAAGTAAAGATTTTCTGTTACTCCATTCTCGTAATGTTGATGGTAATGTACATTTACACATTTGCTTTATGAACTCTAAATTGATGACTTTTTTGATACTGCTGTCTAGTGGTCTATGTACAATTATATGGCTGTGATACTTTTTACTGTCTGAAGTAGTATTATCATACATTCAACTCACATTTGCAGATAGACTTTTTCAGTCTAGTAGTAATTTAATTACGATATACTGTAATTAACGGTATTATATCATCTAGCTTAATAATGTTAAAATATCGGGAATTCCAAATACTATTTAATAACCAACTGGTTTCTTTAGGTTACGTTCTTTAGGTTCTTGCGGTACAGGTAGGCGTTAAAAATGTACAACTGTCTGCAACAGCATCGCTGATTAGCGGCACAGTGTTTTTTGTTGTTGTCATTAACAATTTAGACTGTATAATAGCCCAATGGGGAAGCAGTTAGAATAGTCCCGAGGTAATGAATGGTAATCAAAAGAGGTGACTACCGATTAGTCTTCATCTAATACTATTTAGGGTGTAAATGGTAGTGAGTAAGTTTCACTTGCGGCACTCGTTGGAAGATGTAAGTTTGGTGCGACAGGAGTCAGAGCTCACAACTTTGGTTATCCTGACCAAATTAGGTGGGCTCGTTTAAAGAGGTGACGAATCAGCTAGGGTTAAAACTCAAAGTAGAGTGGGTAGAATGACTGTATGCATTTCCTTTCACTTGATTTGATTTGCTGTAACTCAAACCAGTAGAGATATTAGTTGGGCTTCGCTCTCTGCTAAACAGAAAACTATATGCAAGGATATAGCTTCAGTTGGTACCGGCAGAATTCTGTGAAAATTCAATGGGGGCGTTTATCGTTGCACCGTGATCATGAGTTTAATGGCAGGAAATCACTTTAAAAAAACTATGGCTAGGCTAGGATAGAACTGGTTATATCGGTGTTTGTAAGGATCCAGTAAAGCCTATTGGTCCATATTATTACTGTATAAAAACTTTGAATCTCTGGCAGGATATAGGTATGCACAACATTTAATAGGTTCACTCTTTTGAAATCGTTTATTGAAGAAACTCTAGCCTTATTTTGGGTAAAGTAGTGTTGTATTATTTAAGTATAATTTATTTTCAAAGTGTATAAAGGTAGAATTAATGCATGGAGTTATTATTCACGTACATCTGCAAATTCTATTTGCTCTGATTTTTGGATCAAAGTTTCTATATTTTTTTTATTCTACTTAGTGTTTGACTTACTGGTGTATTTCGAATAAAAACAATTTTGATTTTCATTTATTAAAATTAAATATATTTATTGATTCTTAAAAATATCATTTCATATCAGTTTCATACTTAAATAATATAAAAATGTTTGTTTTTTTTAATTGTGTTTCATTCTCTAAATAAATTTGTTCTATGCAATAAATACACTTTTGTTTGCCGTTCAAGCTTTCATATAAATATAAAAATAATAAATAAATTATATTTAAAACGAATCATAAATTTTATTTATTTGTTTAACAAAAAAAGTAATAGTTTAAATGCTAGTGTAAAAAATATAATAAAATTAAATAAAATTCATAATAAAAAAATTTCAACGAATGCGAGCGTTAAGCCAACATAAATAATTCGCGTTCAGGCGCTGGCATCAATCTTGAATCACTGCCAAATTAAAATTCCATTAATTTCCATTAATGCTACGTGGAGTGGAAGCACAGTGATTCGTGATTAAGGCACAACTGTGTATAAATGTATAAATTATTTATTTGTTTTTTGTTTTTGTTTTTCTTGTTTATAAAATAATTAAACTTTAATTAACTTATATGATAACTAAAAATTTGCTAAATTTGCGGCAGCGCTTTGACTTGCAATCTGGCAAATCAATTAATAAATCGATTAGTGTGAGAGAGTAGGGGTGAGGGCACGAACTACTGAAAGGGCAGGATTCCTGTAATTGAAAAGTCTCGTGATAAAGCGGTAAAAAAGCGCAATTAAAATGCTATTAAGTTCATGGCAATAATCTGGGATTGAAGCGACCCATAAAGAGTATCATGCCTGTTGGATTGTGGCGCACAAAATAAAGGAATGGTTTATCGAAACGTAATCTAGGCGCATCCGGTACACGCGCCTGTCGTGGACGTAATGGCAATGGTAGTTCTAAGTATTTTGGATCAAGTAAATCATCATAAAAACCACGTCCTAAAGCGGATTCATGCACTAAAGAACCGAAGTCTATTACAGACTCTGATGAGTCATAGGCATCATCATCTGTGGCATCAACATCTTTGTTACGTTTACGTAGTGGTGGTGCGGGGTACATTTCAACATGATGATGATCAGAAATTTTCTCCTCACCACAAGTACTGAATGTATTAATTTGTATCATATCGGAGAGGTATATGTCTTTATTACCAGTACCAGTAAGACCACGTAAGTCAGCTAAATCTGAATTGAAAAGTCCCTTAAGACCCATTTTTTGTAAACCAAGTGAAGCGTTCACAAATGAACGATGTGAGAAACGTGGTAGTTGTACTTCCATGCCAGGGCGATCCATCAATGAAGTGAGTATATTGCTCCAAGCATTTTTACTAAAGGCTGTTTCAATTAATTCCTTTTCGAATAATTCCAAATTATCTGTTGGAGAAATAGAACTTTGATGTCCAGGCATAACATAAATTGTACTGACAGTATCCTCCAGGCGTCCAAAAGCTACAATAGTTGCATCTAATTTTGGTTCATAACCAGCAGTAAAACCACTCTTGTAGAGTACAGCTGGTATGGGCACGAGTCTACGTTGTCGCACCGTTGGATGTACTTGGAAGAACATTTCACCATCACGTTCACTGGTAGAACCATGCGAGCAATCAGTTTGAAAGAGATTAGCTGAAATTGTTGCTAATGGTCCATTGACCCAAACACTGTTCGTACGCAGATACTCTAAAACTTTACCCATTGTATGACGTTTCACTAATAAATTTGTACGTCTGCGTATTATATCATTGACCACATGGAAATTGACTTCTTCTACATGTCCTGCGTAAAGTTGCTGTGTCTTCTCCTTGAAGAATTGTAGTATTTTGCCATTTGCACGGTCACTGAATATTTCACGTACAAAAGCAGTTGTTGCAATATCGCTATCATATGCCCTCTCTACGGACTCAGTTATATTTTTGAATACGAGATGCGGATTAAAAGTGACCATATCATCTAACCTAAGTACTTCGTTCATTTCTCCAGAAGTTCCACCGCGTGCACCCAAGAACATCATTGATAACATAGATGTTAATGCAAATGGTGATATGACCAAACTTCTGGCTGAGCTAATCTTCTCTGATGTTATGGACTTCCAGTAGCTGAAAGCCAGTTCATTGCAGAGTTTTGCAAACTCGGTTATGTCTTCACTTAAGCTTGCTGTTGAAGCTTCCAAGCCTTTAGAGTGATTTGGACTTGGCTCCAGTTTAACTGGTGGACGTGTGGCTTGTGCTGAACTTGCCATTAAATTATTCAGTGAGGCGGGACGCTGCATAGGACGGTTTTGTTGTGTATTTGCGGAGTAAGCAATAACCTTTGGTGGACTTGCTTGATGATAAGCTGTCATGGATGGCTGTTTATAATATGAGACTGGTTTTAATGTATTCAAGCGTCTTGTCGTTATTGTGGTAGGTTTCGCTGTAGTTGTCTTTGTAGTTGTAGTGGTGGTACTTGAAGTGCTCTCTGCAGTAGGTAATTTTGGTACTTGGTAAGTTGTTTGATCTGCTAAGTCTTCTTCATCGGCTTGGTCATCGTAATTTGATGCAGGCAGCACTACAGTTGTTGTTGTTTTGGTAGTGCTTACTATTTGCTGTGGTTGCGTTGAGTGTATTGAATCAGTATACGTAACTTCGGATTGTGTGGAGGCGGATGTATCGTAAGCATTTTCGGGCTTTGATTTAAGTGAGTCTTCAACAGAATCATATGAGCTGGCTGGTAACTTATTCTCTTGAATAGGCTTAGCAGTAGTTTCACCAAGTTTTACATATGGGTCCTCATTGGAATTGTCAGTGTCAGTTTCTTCTGAAATTTCAGTAGTTTGCTCTTTTACATCTTCAATACTTGTCTTAACTTCATCATACTGATTTCTTAAAGTAGTGGATTCATAAACTTCTGTGGCATCTTCAGCACTTAACACTATATCTGATTCGTTTAGTACAACAGTGGTTTGACCAGGTATTTCTGTCGATTCTTCTATAGATTCTGAGCCTGATTCCTCCTGTGAGTTTAAGACAATAGTTTCGGTTACTTCAATTGCATTTGTTGATTGCTGTTCATATTCTGTGTTTGGAGTTGGATGTGCAATATATTGTGGTTGTATATTGGCTGCATTTGTTGCACTATCGATCTCAGTGTTACTTGCTTGTTGTTGGTAGTTTACTGGTTCTTCTATTGATTCTTCTTTGTTTGGTGTTTCATTACTGCTGGTACTAACATCCTTTTCATTGGAATTTATCATTGTTGCATATTGCCCTTCTTCAGAATCCTTATTGTTAATATTTTCGCTGGATGCTGGCAGATAGTTTTGTGCTGCGGTTTGTAGTTCGTCAGAGTTTTCGTTAGCATTGATCATGATAGCATAATTCTGCTGTGGTGCTTCTTCTTCAGAAATAACTTTTTTGGCAGGTATTGGAGTCGTTGTCTGACTGAAATCACCAGTCGTGAATTGTTCCTGTGGTGTATGCATTATAACATTTATCATTGCTACAGTTTTATCAACTTCGGGTTCAGTTTTGTTGTTTTGTAGTTGATTTGAAATAGTTTCTGCCATTTCAGTAGATTCTTCCTTTTCAGTGCTCTCTGGCTCACCACTCTCTTTTTCAATACTTTCTTTTTCACTCGAGGTGACCTCTTTACTTGCATTCGTATAATCGTTAGCAGCTTGAACCTCTTCTTTCTTTGTTTCTTCCGTATTTTCAAAAGTCTCAGGCTTATGCAACTTCACAGAAGATTCTGTAGTTTTGTCCTTTTCTTTCTCATACAATAATTCCATGTTATCTTCGTCTTCTTGTTGTTGTGCGTATATTTGAGAAAGGGACAGAATGGGTACTTTAAATGTTGTAGTTTTTTCATCAAATATTGGCGCCGCTGTAGTGCTAATTACTTTCTTAACATTCTGCACATATCCCTCTTCCTTTTCTTTGTCTACTACTACACTTGCTGTGTGTATTTTATCAGTTGAAGTTGTGGCCTCTAAAAGTGGATTCTTTTTGTTTGGAGCTGTGGTTTGTGTTACTGGAGTTTTGTTAGGAAGTGTTTGATGTGTTTGCTGTCCGTATTGCTGATCTTCATCACTAAGTTTAGTGGGATCCGTAAGTACTTCTGCTTTATGTTGTGTATTAGAAACGACAATTGGTTTCAAAAGGAATGAGGAATTAAGTTGCGCAAAGTTTGTTAGACGGTTGTCATTTTCATTGACTGGCTTATAATGATCTTGATTTGAAATCTGTTGTATGACATCGGACATAAGGAAAGCCAATTCATCTTTGGTTTCGTTGGAGTTCATAATTATGTCCGCGGCTAAAGTATTGGAACCATCTACTAGAGTTGAAGCAACTGTTGCAGCTTGTGTTTGGAAGTCGGACATTGTAATGGGTTCTATTGGTTTAATCAGTTCCATATTAAGGTGTGGTTTGAGATCAGCTATTAATGGAGCTACATCTGTGGTATCTTCTTCATTAGCTAAAATGCTATCAATTTTTTGTGGCACTGCAACTGGTAACCTGAGGAAAGATTGTGTTGTATAACCCGAATCTTCATTATCACTTTCAGTTGACTCATAGTTAGTTTCGGTTTCCTGTTGATACTTTTCGGTATATGCAGCAGTAGTTGTCTCATCCACATCGTTGAAATAGCTAATTGTTGCTTGTGCTGGCAGCGTAGTGCGTTTTGTACTTGGAGCTTCCGCAATAGTTGTTTTCATTTCTTCCTCATATGAAGCTTGGAAGTAAGTTGGAACAACTGTTGATTTTTCAGTGGTGGTAACATAAGTTTCGTGTTCTTCTTCGGCACTTGAAACAGTGGTATAGGCTGAATCTGCAAAGATTGGTGGAACTGTTGTGCTTTCCAGTGATTCCTCAATCTTGTTTGTTTGATCAGACAATGGTTCTGGTTTTCTTGTTATGGCGAAGTAATGTGGACGTGGTGTGATGACAACAATAGGCGTATTATCTTCTTCACTAATCGTTGTTTCCTCAGCACTTTCAGGATATGAAGTTGTATGTGAAAATGGACGGCTGGTCATACCCTCTTCATCGCCAAAATGCGAAGTCTTCGTACTGCTCTCCAAATAGAGAGTGAGTGGACTTAGAGTGGTAGTAACCTCTGGTGCAATGGCTGGTGCAATAGTTGTATGTAGTTTAGTAGCTGTCTCTTTTATTTCCTCTGCGGTATTATAATTTTGTTGTGGAGTAGTTGGTTTTGGTTCATATGTCGGCTCAGTTGGTTTAGTGACTGCGTCATCTTTAAGACTCTGTGCAATTTGGTCAAACGAGATATGTGCATTTACATCTTCATCGGCAAGCTGCTGTGGCTTCTGAGCTGTGTCTACCTTATTTTGAATAATAGCATATGATGGCAGTTCTTCCTTTTTCGTGTTATCGAATTCCACTTCAGTTATCTCCTGTTCTTGCTCTACATTATAAACTGGTACGGGATAACCAGAAGTAACAGCAAAGAATGATGTTGAAGTTGCTGGAGTTGGGGTGTGGAATATTGTTGTTGCTTTTGTCGTTGTTGTGTACAGTTTAGTGCTTGTAGTTGCCTCTGCAGTAGGAATCTTTGTGCTAATGCCAGAGCGTATTGGATTTGTTGATAATGAAAGCTGTGGACTAAGGCCAGGGAAGTTCTGTTCAACAATCAATATTGGTTCATTTGAAGCTGGTTGTTCCTCAATAATAACGGGTGCTGCAGTTGTTGTTGTGGTGGTGGTAGTAGTAGTGGTTTTCTTGTGTGGGCGTGGTCGCTTACGGTGTCCTACCTGTTGTTGTTTGTGTGCGGTTTCATGGTTGATCGTTGAAGATGTTGCTAAATCGGGATGTTGTTTATTATTGTCATGTATTTGATGTGTTGGCTTTGGCTTATGCTTCTGTAGTCCTGGTTTTGATGTAGGTTTGCGTTTATTAGCGGTCAGATGAGGCTTCGTGGGTGCGCCATGTATACCAGTAGTTGTAGAGTTGACGTGTGTGCCGGTACTTGTGGAACTATGTATAGGTTGGCGTGTTGGCTTCTTACGCTTCTTTTTGTGTGTTGTTGAAGCTGGTGGTGTTGCTGTTGTGGTGATAGGTAGTGGAGTTGTCGTTGTGGTTGTAGTTGGCGCAGGTGTTGTCGTCGTTGTTGTTGTAGTGGTTGTTGTTGTTGAAGTTGTAGTGATTGTTGTTGGTACTGGAGTAGTTGTTGTAGTTGTAGGCTTCTTTTTGACTTTCTGCTTGTTGTGTGTAACTTGAGGTCGTTTGGTAGTGCTTGTATGTACTGGCTTACTAGTGGTTTCACCATTATTGGGTTTCTTATGTTGATGTACTGGTGGATGTTTGTGTCCAACATTAGTAGGTTTCTTTGGCAGTTCATCATGAAGTACTAATTTCTCTGTGGTGGTTGCAAGTTTCATATCAACAGTTGTCTGTATCATCTCTTGATTATTGACAAAGACTCGTTTGGTGGTAGTTTCAGGTACTTGTTCATAAATCGGTTGCATGTGCATTTGTGAGAAACCTTCAAAGTTTTGCATATTTGAAGCGATATTTTGATATTGTTCAATGCCGGTGTAAACTGATTCGAGTGGTCCTAGCTCTTCCTGTACAACTTGTGGTGTTGGCTTCGCTGTTGTTGTTTTACGTTTTTGTCCGGGCTTACGCTTTCTTTGTGGTTTTTTGGTGACACGTGTTGGTGCAGATTTAGTCGACGTTTCTACAAGCTCTGAATCTGGCGTCATAACAATTTGTTGTGGTTTTTGTTGTGGGAAAATATCGCCACCAGTATTACCAAATATCGCTGGCAATATTAAGGACCAAGAAGATGATACGTCTGGAGTGTCTAAAACTGGTAAAGTATCTTTAGTCACATTTTTCGATGATTCCACTTGTTTATTAAGCACAGTCTGCACACTGTTGACAATATCTTCAACATTTTTTTCTGGATCGCGTTCTGTTAGAGGTGGAGTGTGTATAATGGTTGGACCTTCACCATCACCATTTGCAACAATACTTTGAATTTCTTGCATAGTCATCAGGCGTTTTACTAATTCACCATTTTCATCGAATGTGAAGAATTCATAGCGATCTGGATTTAGTAAATTAATTGGACTTGCTACTTGTAATGATGGTTGTGGTTTGGGTACTTTTTGACCAACCGCATCAGTGAATTCAGGTTCGTTGCCATTTAGAATGACAGATACGGATGTAACAACACTGAAAAATGAAAATTCGAAATAATTTGTTAGATTTTATATTAATCAATGATTCATATTAGTTGGATGAAAACTTCATTTATTTTAGAGTATTAAAGTTTTATGTGTAAGTGAGACAGAAGTTATATATCAGTTCTATCTGCTGTTATGTGATTAAAATTTTGGATTATAAGGCAATAAGAAAATCTTCCTAACAGTATAAGAGAATAATTTAGAAAGGAAACCTTAATTAGATCTTCAGTAGAGGATTTATTATCTGAGGTATTAAACTGACTTAAGGTGTTGACGTTTACCTAAAATTTAAGGTTTGGTTAAGCCAACTGCTTTAAGCATAACAAAACGACTAAATGGCATTGGGTGGGGTTATCTACATATTAATAATAACAATAATAATGACGATTATTTAGTTCGAAACTTTTCGTGGACCACTTTTTGCCTAATTTTTTGCATTTTCCAAAGTAATATATTAATTAATACATTTGGCTAGTTTAACTCTTGGAAAATTTTTTGAAAAATATCTTATCCTAATCGTGAAACTAAATGCTTGTACTAATTTTACTAGAAGCCATCACATCATTCATATGGCAAATTTACGTTAGTTGGAGATAAATTAATTTTCATCGCACTAAAACATACCATATTTTATCAAAAAAAGATTAATTTCCTTGCACGTTTAATGGAAAAATTAAAAGCGTTTCATGTGGTAAACGTTTTTGGATTGCGTATCCTGAAGCATCATCACTTGCCAAAAATAAATGTGAACTGTTGAGTTTAGTAGAGTAAAACTGATGTCATGCAAGATGATGTTGAAATTATGATGAACTGACGTCATAACAGTGCTTAACTAGGGGGCATACATAATGTATTTTGCATCAAAAATAATTACTTTTTAACCTTAGAGGTTACTCAATTATCAAGAGCCGAAAGCAATTCAAATATTTTTTAGTCGTTTGGAAATTCAGTTCAGGAATAATAATATTTTAATATTATAATTTGTTGCTTGAACAAATTAAGAAAATAATTTTTAAAATAATAAAAATAACAATAATTAGACAGAAACTCCTGGGAATAGCCTAGGTATAAATAATTGTATGTATAAGAATGAATAAATTAGAGAATTTTTCTTTAAATCCTTATGTACTTAATAGTGTCCAATATGGAAGACAATCTACTTATTCCATAAATATGTACATAAATATTTTATGCAGAATGATAGTATTACTCAATGCAGTCCATACTTGTTATTTTTACTCAATTTTTCAATATATATGACATTTTCTGTTTCTAAATATTAGAAGATTGCAGACAATATCAGTAACAGCTCAAAATTTCAATCAAATCGATATAAATGAATGTCCTTTAGATCGTACTTATGAAATTCAACGAAGATAATAGTTGACGTTTGAAAAATTCAAACATAGTTTTGATATAATTTGTTCTACAGAACTCCTCATGACTATGGTGAAGCCTGTGCCACTTATAAATTTTGCCACGGTTTGAGCAATGATAATGATATACGATTTTCGAAAAAAAATGTTTTAAATGAATGTCGACCTCGATAATACAAATATACAGTCAATTTTGATGTTACGACTGAGGATTTAGTAGCCCAAATCACTTGAAATTTTGATAGAACATCAGCGAAGAATATACTTTACTCTCTGGATGTCCTGGTGGATGTGCTGATTACTAAAACTTATTTTCATCGGGTGATTTTATAGATGCATAAAAACTATCGATATCGATAACTATAGCTTGACAGCAGCGAATGTCAAACATGTCTGTTGATATGTCTGTTCAGTAAGGATATGTCTGTTACTTTCAAAAAAAAAAATCATTTTTTTTGCTTTCATCGAACACTTCGTTCATTTTGCGGTCAACATAATTGGCCTAGTGAGCAAGCAATTCATGTAGTTATTGATCGCTTCGCATTAATTTTACTCTTCTCAAATGAAAACTAACATCCATCCTTTAAAATTGACTGTTTGGTGCGATTTATATGCTGGCGGCATCATTGCTCTTCTTTTTTTTCGGAATGAAGAAGAAACTGCAGTTACGATGAATGACGAGAGCTATGGAACCATGCTGACTGAGCTTTTGTTTCCAAAAACTAACCCAAAACATCGACGACATTTGGTTCCAACAAGACGGCGAAACTTGCCATACAGCGAGCTTAACAATCGATTTATTGCGAAATTAATTTAGTAAAAACTTTGTTCCCAGAAGTGATCCTGGTTTCGGATCCCCTTATTCGTGTGATTAAATGTCTCCCGATTACTTTTTATGAGACCATGTTAAGTCATTGATTTGTAAGTCATTACAAACCAGTAGTATTGATGCATTGGAAGTCGATGTTTATGCCACCATTGACGCCATACGACCACATTTTTTTGCAAAAAATAGTCAAAATTTGAACTGATCTGATGGAGCATATAATTTACAGCCGCAGCTAATATATGACTGAAATCATATGCAAAGATTAAATTCCATGAAACTATCTTCTAGATTGTAATAAAATAAATTTCATTCTAACAATAATTCTGTCTTGTATTTACTTTAAATTTCACCTTATAAAGCAACTCCATCTCAGTCGATTTCTCTTCATGATTTGTGGGATTTCTATACTTATATATATATTACCATTTAATCGCAAATACCGATTTGGTATTATATATCTATATATAGCTACATTATATAGCTATATGATGACACCAATAATTATTTAAATTATTTAATTAAATAATTTTCAAGTTTTGTACTTGTGATCTGGTTTACTTAGTGGTGCCTATGCGGTACTTAGAGAGCACAGCAAATGATATGACTAGATACCCAGAATTATTAATTTTACAAACCAAAGTGTTATTTTTCGAGTGTAGAGGACACTACCACTATGATAACTTTAGTATGACCGCTACTATGGAAGCTTAAAAAAAAATAAATCCAAAATTTCCAACCTAAATAAATACGTGCCTTTCATTAGAACTCACGGTCGACAGTGTTTTCCATTTAAATTTGTTCTGTCCAGTCATCAGGTACAGTGTGCATTCACTTAATACTACAATTGCCTCCTTGCAATTGGCATCGTGGTGTAACAACTCATTTCAAAATGTCCACTCGATTCGTGGAACTACTATTTTTTGGTTTCTTTGGTTAAGATTTACTTTTCAGTTGCGGGGCTAATCACATTCGAAATTTCCATTCAAAACAGCCACAAACACAATGTGTACTCATGCTGACAGCGAACGCAACTCGAAAATGTCTGTGGCATTGGCGGTGATCTGTTGGCAACTCTGCTACACAAAGAAGATAATTATTTTGCCGAAATCCATTTGCAAAATTGCTAGTTAAATTTGCACGTTGAAAATGCTAGTTGTGAATTGCGGTGCGTGGTACGTGGAAATGTCATAACGAGTTCTAGGTTTTGTAACCTTAAAATATGGTAGCAGCCTAACGGCGTATCAAAATTTTTATTAAGTGTTTTATTGCAGTTCCGAAACAGTGCACATTTTGAAATGGATTTATTATGATGGTCCTGCAATTGACAAATTTTCACTGCGTTGGTTTATGCCCGGAAATGTTGAAATATTTCATTTTTGTAGGGTAATTATGGGTTTAAATAAGTAAATCCAACTGAAATTTTTAAAAACAGTTTCACGTAATTGCCTAATGGTAGCAAGAGTCAAATCATTTAGTGGTTGACTTTACAGTGAATATGTCATATAGGAAATACATTTCTAAAAGGATATGAAACATGTAACCGATAAAACAATAAATGTTGACATTCCATAGTAACTTACTATGGAAATTCTAACAAAAAAATTCTTAAAATGATTTAAAATAAAATAATGCAATCAGTTTTTAGAAATGCTTAACATGGATATTGAATTGGTATAATTGGATTGAATTGGTTTAACTTGAATTGGTATAACATATGTGTAGCCTTGGTTACTTGCAAAAAAAAACACTATAAGTTATCGTTTCTAATTTGACAGGCACAAGTTCTAAGCCTGGCATTTGTATTCATAACCACTTATATACGGACTATAAACTAATTAAATAAAAATTCGAATATTCACTGATGATAAGTACTTGGCAATATTCGAAACAGCGTTGAATGGTCAGATTATTTTTAATAAATTAACTAATATTTTTGTTGTTGTCTTTTCATTTCTATTCAAACCCTTCTAAATTTTAAATAGTTTTTTTTCTTGCAAGGCCCATCATTTATTTTCAAAAATTATCGTTAAAGTTTTTTTGGAAGAAGAAATATACTATAAAAATAGATATAGTTTTGCCTCTGAGGATGTCGTTACACTAGTATCACCGTAGTACGTGGTAAAAAATATTATATTATTTCGAAAAATTGGCACACAAATAGCGACAGAGAAAGATAGATAAATATTTATTTTTATAAATGGAATAAAAAGTGTACATATATTTTTCAGAGCAACCCATATAATATTTATATGGTCTGAAGTTGTCGTTTTTATATTGATATACAAATAGATAGAGATAGAAAGAGGGAGCTATGTCTAAATATTTAAAAAGGAAGCAAAAAGTATACTTAGAGTTATATCATTTAGTGTACTTAAACTTCTTAAAGCACATCAAATAGAGCTATATGTAATATATAGTTTAAAACTAAAATTTTTAATTGGAAAGATTGACATACAAGTAAGAAGAGATGAGAAGAAATAGAGTTTTCTCTATATATTTATGAAAGAAATCAAAAGTGTATTAAGAGTTCGTTTGTTAATTATACAAATACTTTTTAAGGACCATTGCACAGTATGTAATTAAAGCTCTTATCCATTTTTAAACAGAAGACCCACACATCAGACCACAGACTAACCCATTTTTTGGAAATCATAATGCAGGCTATAATGACTCATCAGAAAAACTATCAACGAACTTAGCTCTGATCTATTAAGAAGGGACGGCGCTATCTTAGCTATACGGAACGAAGGTGATCTTTAGTTTGGCGGTAACCTGTAATATCGTAGCAAAATTCAGTAGCAATTTATTACTAATAACAACTAAAAATATTTAAGATTAAAATTTTATAAATACTAAAGAAATTTATCAACTACAGAAACAGAAATGTTGGAAAATATTTAAAATAAAAACTTGAGAAAATAGCATTACTTTTTATATATGCATGGGGATGTGTATATCAATTAAATTGGTGCTTAATCTTAAAGCAATTTTTTTATAGTACTGCTAAAAAGATTTCAATAAAAAAGATATCTTGTTAACCACTATAGCTCTTTCAGCACAAATATGGCTACGGTGATGACACTGAGTGAGAGAGAATCACTGCTTACCGCTGTTCTACGATATAATATCTAATATTGAAATACGTGCGTATTTTGAGAATGCAGTTAGGGTCTCAGCTTTATGATTCAGTTAGAGGGTACGTACCGTATGAATTTAAGCGAACTTAAGCCAAAGCGAAACGCATAACCAACCATACTTGTGTATTTCGCTTTGACTTAAATCCTTACGGTACGTAACGACTAACTGAGCTTTTAGTAAGAAACTTATTGGAAAAAAAAAAAAGTTGTGCTGAGGGTTGAGTGCTATGGTGTCGTAAAGGCCATTATCTGGCTCAAATGGACTTAGAGTCATATTGTTTATAGATATGAATAGAGAAACACATTAATGTAAATAGAAAAATAATATACTGAAAGTAAAAGTTTTCATTTTATTCGAAATAAAGTTGAATCAGTACAATCTAAATGGATAATTAAGAATATGTTTATTATTTCCTAAGAGTTTGTTTATTTTAATTATACATGTTTTTTTCTAAAAGCTATTCTTAAATACTTTTAAAATAAAATCTCGTTTTGTGTAGTTTTCAAATTTATTTCATTATATGTAGTACATTTTTATAGAAAGTTGTGAACGTTTCGAAGTGTTTGAACTTCTTCATCAGGGCGGGATGGTTAAACAACCAAAAATATAATCAATTAATGAAACACAATTATATATGGTAGTATATAGTATATATAGTATATATGGTAGGTATAGTACTATAATAATAGTTTTATACTTAAACCGTGCAAGTATAGTATTGGTACAGGTTTATATGTTATGTTTCAAACAGTCATAACATATATATTAAAGTAATCGTATAAACTACAAATGTCTTAATGAGAAAAAACAAGATATTTGAGGTTCATAAATTTATTTGCAGTAAATGACAAAGATAACAATAAACCACAAAATTTTGTGGTTCAATATTATCTCCCGTTACATTGAATAGATGTCTTTTTTAACTGCTGCAGTTAATAAATATCTCCCAATTGTACAGTTTTCATATTCATAACTACATATTCGATAAATTTCTTTTTAAAATCTGTACTAAATCATACGATGATAACATATTACTTTGTTTGTGGAACAAAAAAAGTTTCGAATTGAAACCAAAACTAATATAAAATTTACCATATTTAATGACAATTCGACCAACTCAATTTCACATTAAACTTTGCCAATATCAGAAGATAAAATACTATTCATTCGTTTTTTTTTTCAATAAATATGATAGCATAAATATTACAGATACATTTATAAAGATCAAAGGAACATAATCTAAAATTTGTCGGTTCATTTTAATTAAAACTTTTACCATTTCTGGTCAATTATGTACTTCAAATTACAAAACTCGAATATTTGTGTAATGAAATGCACGACGAGGTATTCAAAACTATGAAGTAAGTACAGCAATATATTAAAAATTAATCGAAAATCAAAAAGGTACTTTCAATGCACTTCACAATAACCTTTTTACAGTCTAACGCTTTCATTAGGCAAGCAGTAAATGCATTTCATTATAACTAAAAGTGCCACTCTAAAGTTGTGAATTAGAAAATTTGTTGGGTTGGTAAAGAACTAACCTGGAGCCAATAATTTTTTTCGATGCTTCTCCATCCTGTTCAGCATTGTAGTTGTTATTGTTGTTGTTGACATTAGTAGCGACTGAAATGTCTTTCAATGGATTTTGTTCAACATGCGGCGGCACAGTTGCCTCATAGGCAAATGCTGGTTGCATATGTGTGGTTGATTGTTTTGTTGTTGAATCCTTTGTGTTGCTACCTTTTGTTGGTGATGCATTAGCAGCTGTAACTGTCTTTATGGTGGGCCGTATTTTTTCGCTCAATTCTATAGTCGAACCGAAACCATAACCACCAATATTGCCGTAGCTACCACCACCGTCATCGCCATCATCTATAGCAGGTGGTTCATCTGAGTATGTAGGCGGATAGGCACAGACCATATGGCTATGGTATAGCACCAATGCCAGGAAATAAATATGGAAGCGCATTGCTTTGTTATTTATACTGCGTTCGTATTTACAAACTCAGACAAAGCGTATGTCCTTTTGATATCCTTTTTTCTTTTACAAAATTTATTTAGATTTTTTCACTTTTTTTCTATTTGCTATACTTTGTTTACTTGGTTTGTTATTATTTTGAGCGACCTTTGGAAAACTTTTTCTGTGCTTCTTTATTTTTTTCTCTATGCCGATAATGTCTTTATTGTATCCTTCTGGTTTATTCCTTTTTTTTCGTATTTTTTGCCTTTTATTGATGCGCTGTTATTCTGTAAGAACAAAAGGAAAATTAATTAAAACATCGTTAATGAAAAATAAAATAAATTGAAAATGTGCTAGACCTTTAGTATGAGATTCTAATGGTAGGAGAGGATAAAATGGATACTTGATCTTCTGTACATTATTAAAAGTGAGTTTTAATACTTAGCATTCACTTCACCTAATGCTTACTGTGAAGATTTTATTTGAGGAAAAAGTATCTTAAAAGGTGATGTCGTAAAGATTAGTGTGTTTTGTATTACTTAGATTTATAATTAAAATAATAAATTTAATTTAATTAATTGTCAATACTTCGTAATTGCTGTCCAATATCAGCTTTTTGCAACTAAAGACGTCATAGTAATTAAAATAGAATATATAATTATTTTATTTTTAAATCAAGAATTTCGTTTTAGTTTAATAAAAATATTACAAAAAAATAAGAAGTAAAATAATATTTAAAATTGAAGATGAGCTATAAATTGAATAGAGCTTTGTATAAAAAGGAGCAATCAAGAGTTTACCTTGTAGTCAATTTTATAGTCAAGATTTTGTTCAATTGAATATTTTATTTAATCTAAAAACAGTGATTCCCACTGCTTAAAAGCATATAAAATAAAAGTATCTGATATTACTTCTGGGTGTCGTCCACGATGTCGAGTTTTTAAGTAACCTCCTAGTTCACATGTAACCTCCTAGTTCTTTTGATGATAATTACATTATTCAAAGAGATAAAAGTTAAACAATGGTGAAATGGACAAGTGAAGGAAGCGAATTATAGGTAAAATGTGACGATTGGAAAGAATATCATCTCAAAGTTTCATCATTCGCCTGGATGTTGGTGCAAGTTTTTTAGAAAGTTTCTATATCCATTTAACGCTCTCCTTTCATCCACAGAGTATTTTTTTGGAATAGATAAAAGTCGCTCAATGCTAAATTAGGTAAAGGAAGGGAAAGATTCATAAATAAATTGCCCCAATTGAAGAGCAAATCATATGAGAGTTTCGTGTCATGGCGGTACAAGCCTTTTAGAGACCATCTATGTTCTCAAATCACTTTTCATAACATTCACACAAATCCAAATCAGGTTAGCGCACAAAGTGTTTAAAGGGCAAGATCTGTTGATCGAAAAGCATATAATATTAGAATTTCTAACAATTAGTGTTTGTCAGGATGTCGCAACAAGCATACACAGAAGGCTTCCTTTTTATTCACCAATATATTTTTTAGAAAACTTAAAAGTCACACAATGCTATAATAGGTAATAAGACAGTTGAGAAGCATAACATATGTGAGTTTTTAATTATTTGCCAGGATGTGGTTAGATACAAGTATGTATTTTTCTGAAAAGACAAAAGTCACAAAGTGTCAAATTTAGTAAATGCAAGCTGTAGTGATTTACAGTTAAGATAGGATGATTGAATGGCATATTATACGAGAGTTTCAGATTATGCACCAGGATGTCGTTCACGATGTCGGTACAAGTCGCTTGGATAACTTTTGTGTCTATAATGACTTTGACACTTAGCCCATTTTATCAGGCCTCTTTTTTTAATTATATTGATTTAATAATAGGAGGATATTAGGAGATATCTTTAAGTTTTATTTTACTGAACCAAAACAATATCCACAAGTTCACTCTATTATGAGGACTTGTTCAATATCTGACTTGATTATACGATATAGGTTTTATATTGCAATATGCGATATGATTATATGTTCTTATGATGTAATATGTTTATTATAGTGTATTGTATTGTAATATAATGTATATTTGCTTCGTTTTATTTTATGGTATTAATTTTAAATCTTTTAATATTCGCATATTAGTTTTTATATGCAATTAAAACTATTTTATTTTTTCTTAGTTTAATCAGAAATGATCACAAACAACTGCTAAACAAGCTTTAAAGTTAACTTAATTCTCAGAATCATTTCTTGAATTCTCCGTACTTTCCTTACTTACTTTCAACTTTAGAATAATTTAAATAGAAGTTACTATTGCATAGAGATTGCAAAAAAAAATTCTTCTTATATTATCAGTGTTGCTACGATACCAAGGTAAAAATATTTATTCTTATTAAGACTTTCTCTAGAAAATTATAAACCTAAAGTGTATAATAGTACCAACCATAAACGAGATATATTGTTAAAATATAATAAATATACTCGTATTTGTGTTGTTTCAAGTTTTTGTGGTTAAAAGGAGCAAAGCAGTTGCTATGCGCCTGTAATTATGCTAATCGCACTGTTCACCTCTTAGGTGAAACGCGCTTTTAAGGATGTTTTCATACTTGTTCAAGGACTTTTCCGAAATTAGTAGTTGTGGCTTTTGATACTCTTTTGAAATATGCAACACACATGGTTATCCAAAATGTGTAGTAGTTTAGAGAAAAACTAAAATTACCCATACTTTAGTGAAACTTTTAGTTTTAGCTTAGTTTTTTGGTTTTAACTAAATGTGAAATTATTATTTTTTGTTGGAGAAAGACTTTTATAATATTTTAAAACTTATGTTATATTAAAATCAATAATATATTTTTAAGTTTTAAAATAAGCACATTCCTATATAGAGGTGCTTTCATATGAGTGAGTTAATGTTGATGGGTTTTTATAAGTCTATGATAAGTCGACTATTTATGATAGGATTAAAATGTTCGATGTGAATTTTAATTAATAAATATATGAATTAATAAATATACGAATTAAAATGATCAGATTATACATCATCTACATTAATTTTCGAATCAATCTATTTAGGTGTAAATAACAAAATTATTCGATATATATATAAGTTTTATGTAAAAGATTTCACTGTTGATGTAAGAGTATTATTATAGTAATATTATGTTGAAGCTATTTGAGCCAGTGGCCTTGAGCACTTTTACTCTTTCTTAACTCGAGGTATCTTCAAAACCCCTCTTTACGCCTTGACCGCTTATTGTTTATCACTTCATCAGACTAAGCAATAATTGACCTCAGATCTGCATACCTCCCCGAAGAGCCTGTACCCATTCTGAGATTTGAAAACGCGGTGTTAGTAAGTCTGTTAGTTTTTGAAAATAATTTCAGGACTCTATGCTTTTTGTATTTTTTGATGGGATCAATCTTGCGGTCCCTGAGGATGTCATTCGTCCTAATGTACCATAGTACTTTGAAAAGTCTTCTCAGAGCCTGGCTTTGTGCAATTTCTAACTGGTGAATAGTAGTGTTTGAAGCTTTGCTAAACGCTTAATAAAAGAGCTTATTAAATATTTTAGTATGTTATTTGTTAGTCATAATTATTTAAAATAATTAATGCAGTAAATAATTATGCAGTAAGCAATATAGAAGAGAACACAACTTAGCATTACTCACCACCTTAATTATTTACAATAGCAACATATATAAAAATCAATATAAATAGATCTGGTATACATATAGAATAAGATAGATCTGGTCTTCCAGAACCCTGCGTATTTATAGTAAATCATTAGTATTAGTAACTAAATCTGCCCAAGCAGAAAAGCTTTTCGAGTTAAGTTCAAAATTTTGCCGGTTGACGAGACAAGTTGAGGAGTTCCAAGCTCAGTCTAGGGCTGCATACAAATAGTGTTTAGGTTCATTATCCTTTAAGTTAATTCTACTTAGAAGTAGATAGATAGAGAAAAAATGGGGTACTAGCTCCCATTTGAGCAGAGCACTGGACCATGATTGATCTTTTGTGCTACAACAGACCCTAACTGAACAGAAGACATTCCGCCTTCCGGATGAAGGGTAAAATGTTGGCCGTTGAGGACCTCCTAATGTCGGAAGAGGAAAGCAATTCCCGACCCAGTGACCTCCTCCTGGCCCAGATCAATGCTGGGCAGTCACATAGAATGTGGCTGGTTGTCTCCTCTGCTTCTAAGCAGAGTTTATAATCTATCTACTTAGAAGTATATCTATATATATAAAATCGTTTGTTTGTCTGTTCGTTACTTAATAATTTTTTAATGACTTTACTAATCTTCGTGATACTCTCAGATCATATTTATATAGTTTTTAGGCGTTATATAGGCTATTAAAACATTCGATATTAGTTATAATTTTAACATAAATAAAACAAATGCTCTTTACATTGTTTAGGCTTTATTACAGGAGGAAAGAACGTTCGCCGGGTCAGCTAGTAAAATTTATGAAATTTTTGTATCCATGAAATTCAGATATTCTAAACTAAGCTAAACTAAAGTAAAATATCTTTTTAATGTTTGATAATGTAATATTCTAATATATATTAATATAATTTTATAAAAATTTGTAGTCTTAAAAAATTATTTACGAATAATTAAATACAAAAATTATTTCCAAGACCCATAATGATAGGTATTAGGTAATACTTGAAACAGCTGTATGGTCAGCCAAAAATTCAATGAATTAAAATAATATAAAATGAATTTTTGTTGTTGTAATTCACTACTGTTCACTACTGAAAAACCACTAAAAACTATATATTTTTATTTAAAAAAAACATTCTTAAATTTTGCTTAATATCTTTACTTTTACCTCTGCAATTAAAAGGACTCACTCTGAAATACTAAAATATTTTGCTAAGTCAACATATTTGAATAAAATTTATTTTCATATTTGTAGATACATTTTTGTTGTTGTATTTGTTGCGTTAGTTTTGTTTGTTTTGTTTGTTTGTTTGTTTTGTTTGTTTGTTT